TGGTGTAGTCAACAGTATTGAAGATGTCTCTGATGGTGTTGCCGTAGATGCTGTAGATGCTGTAGATGTTTCGGTAGGTGTAGTCGTAGCTAGGGATATAAAAACACAGCCGGTTGTAAATGAAGTGACCGATGGCCAAAGCTAATTTTCAGTGGTCMTATTCTTCTATTGCACGTTACATAATCGAGACCATGTTAATTGGTCAACAAAATACGTCACATTTATTAGCATCCCTTTTTATACCACTAACATGGCTGCCTTTGACGCTCTTCGGGAATGCTTGGAACCCATCAATATAATCAATGATTTTCTACCTCAGATTTGATTTGAGAATKGCTAGCTACCAAACATGAGTTCTTATCTTTACTCACCTTGTGGTATAAACACTTGATATTCTGCTCTGAATCCAGAGCTGTTGTTTGATTCATCCGAACGAAAGACAAACAGAACATCACGCTCGCTTGACAAAGTAAACGATACCGTTGAATGAAGGGGAATCGTATACCAAGTTTTAAAACTGCCATTCCTTCTTTTAGAATATCTCAAAGTGTCGTTTAACCTATTAACCTCATAATCACTGCTCTAGCAGTTATTATTGTCTTAGAATCATTTTCTAACAGGATATCCGGCAAATTTTACTCACCCCTTGGTGTAGTTGTAGCTAGGAATATAAGACCAAGAACAAAGGTTATACAAACAGATAGTGAAAATGGAGTGAGCAATAGTCAAAACAAATTCGTCCCTGTTCAAAAAGGATACTTTGTACTCGAGCTCCGACCATCAAACCCAAGTTCGTATCTTTACTCACCTTGTGGTATGGACACACGGTATTCTGCTCTGAATCCAGAGCTGTTGTTTGATTCATCCGAACGAAAGACCAACAGTACATCACTTTCGGCTGACAAAGTAAACGATACCGTTGAATGAAGGGGAATCGTATACCAAGTTTTAAAACTGCCATTCCTTCTTTTAGAATATCTCAAASTGTCGTTTTCATTCAAAGAGAAGTTWGTGAARYGAACAYGTAGGGTGTGATTATCAGGGACTATGATCCTCCACGAGCACAGCTGTCCATCCGGGTATTTACCAGGGAAGCCAGGGGACTGGAAAACACCTTCCTTGTCTGTCAGAGTGTAGTTACAACCTAAAATTAAACATTTCTTGATATTAAGTTTGAAAATCAAGCCGTTCCTGTATTTCGATTTGATGATGTAATCTTGTCCCTAATACCATTTATGAACTTGCATAAGGAGCTTTACAATTTTGATAACTTTGAACAGTGCCCTATAAAAATATATAAATATTTGCCAATGGTTAGACGAGTTTGCTGTAGCTTGAATCACCATGTTAAATGACAGCCCCACCTCATTTCTACAGACGTTAAACATAGATATAGAGAGTTACAAGTGTATCCATAGTGATTGTCACATGTCAACCCCTTTATGCAGGAATATATTTTAAAAACTCTTCGTTTATATTTTTTGCTTGAACACCCAGAGTTTGTTGCAGCCGCGCGGTTTGTTTGTTTACTTATGTTTGTGTTGTTGTTAGATTGTTGTAGWTTTTTTGTTGCTTCCAAATTGTCATTGTTTATAGCTATATGTTATCGAATATGGGCAAAGAATCACTCTTTTTCCCACTTACTTTCATAATAGCAGTAAAACATCTTAATCCCTTTGTTACTTTCAAGTTGATATGCCGCGGGCACTGTTCCATTCATGACGTTCTCTGTCTGGTACTTGATCCATTCAGTTGTTGCTACCATCCATTTGACTTGTTGACAGTCACGTGACCCATAAGGCAGCAGATAAAATGGTTTGGTTATCGGTAACGAGATTGGAATATTTTTGTTCCCACTTNTGTACGTTGTCACCGAGATTGTTGTAGTTTTTTTGTTGCTTCCAAATTGTTAATGTTTATAGCTATTCGTAATCGAATATGGGCAAAGAACAACTCTTCTTTCCACTTACTTTTATAGTAGCAGTAAAACATCGTAATTCCATTGTTATTTTCAAATTTATATGTCGGCACTGTTCCATTTATAGCGTTCTCTGTCTGGTACTTGATCCATTCAGTTGTTGCTACCATCCATTTGACTTGTTGACAGTCACGTGACCCATAAGGCAGCAGATAAAATGGTTTGGTTATCGGTAACGAGATTGGAATCTTTTTGTCACCACTTGTGTAACATTGAAAGTAAAATTCGATGTGTTTGGGGGTTTCTTCATGGTAATCAACGAACGAACTAGTGTATTTTACTCCGTTTTTGTTCTTAGTAAGGTCACCAGTCATTTTAATTGACCCAGATGAAAAGCTTTTAGGCCTGTATATGCAGTATCGACCTACAACAGGAAAATATTGTCTATAAACCGCTTATTATACTTTCAAGCAATCATGCAGAGATGAAACTGAGATTTCTTGACAAACGTACCTTGTGGCCAAGCTGATGAGCCTTCCTTTCCTGTTCTAATGCAAAAAGATCTTACTACATAACGAGGAGTAACATAACCATCAATATGAAGGATCCTTGATCTGTTGTTACTCCCGTAAATTTTGGTATCTTGTAAAATCCAGGCTTTATCTTTCCAATTGTTTGGACAACCAGTTTTAGGTTTGAGTAGAACGTATTCACCACCAGGCCATTTGGTCGAACCTGTAGCGCAATCATTGTGAACTTTAATTTTGTGGTTGCTTTTGAGGCTAAACGAATAATAATGTCATCCAACATGGCTGCCGGATTCCACCCTTAGTAACATGAGTACAGCAGAGCTGAATAACGTACGCACATGCGCCAAATCATTAGTAGAAGTAACATGCAATCTTGTCCCAAGAACCTGCATTTCTCCTGGTCAACACCAAGCAACGGCATGGTGCTGTCTGGTGATAACGAAGGTTCGCGCACCATCATGTCGTTAATAAACAAATTCAAGGTAACTGACACCGAAATATTGGTCGAAATTTCCTGAGAAAGCAACTCAAAATAAAAAAYAAATAGACAAGACTAGAAAGAGAGACTGGGTTTGTAACCTAGTGAAACCAACCCTCCAGGTGTCCACCGACTTATCTTGAAAGTTTTGCTTAAATGTTTAATGCCATTTACTAAATAAACGTTTACCATAGAGTGACCACAGTAAATCCGTGAAACTTTAGTAATACTAAATAGCACAATTTCATGCAAATTCCATTGCTTTCTATTGTTTAATTAGCACTATTTTGTACTATTTAGTAAATATTATTTCACGGATTAATTGTTTGCACTCTATCTTTTAAAGTCCTGTACATCTCTCGTGATTCATTTTACTGAAGGAATGGCTAATGGTTATATCGTGGGTTATGTTATAATTTCATCAGGTTGTTTATATTAGGGAAATCCTTCTTTAAGTTGGTGCTGAACAATAAACTGACATCATCTATGCATTTTTGACAGCTGATGGCAGAATAAATTTAAAAATAGCGTGCCTTTCTAAAGTTACCCGAGTAGTTGATGCATTGATCTGATTGACTATCATTTCTCTACTTAACATCGATTAGACCAACTGAAAATGTTTTTGTCGCAAGTTGAGTAGAGCAAAAGACACTAATGTGTCGAAACATGCACTTCCTCTGCATGTTAATCATAGAATCTATTCTAAACTGTTATCTTAAATTAAGTTATTATTCTATTATTATTA